AAGCGCCAGACGCAGCATCGGACGAGCAGCGCAGTACAGTCCTCAAGGCGCACGAGAATAGGATTGCCCAGCTCAAAGAGGAGCATAGGCAGGACCAGCTCCGTATCGACAGGATACACAGGGAGCGCCTCAAACTGCAGTTAAGAGAAGGCGAAAGCCTCTCACATTGCGGTCAGCGCCTCTCTCCCAGGCGGCCGCGCAAGCCTCATGAAGGAGGCGATGCCGCCAGGCGTTAAGCCTACGCCATGCAGCTGTAATTCAGCCCAGGCCTACCCCTTCCCTCCTTACTTCTCTCAGCTTCCTTTCCCTCGTATCTCCCCCCACAGGCCATGATGCGCGAGCTCAGCACCTTGGGCAACGCCGACGCAGACGAGGACATGCCCGCTGCTGAAGCGGCCCCGGGGAGGCACCTAGAATTTGATCCGCATTATGGAGCGGCTGCCCCCAGACTTTCGCAGCGCATGGCCCTTTTGGGAGTACCTGGCGGAGCGGCTTCTCCTGGCCCACCAGCAGGTCTTCCGCTTTCTCAGCGGCGGCTCGAGGCGCCACGCTCTTTTACTATCTCCTACCGCTGTGTACCAGCCTGCCTCGGTACCCCAATGGCAAGCTACATGGCAGCTCGAGAGCGGGCCGCCTGCTCTGCCGCACGCCCGTGCTACCGTAGGCCCCGAGCTCTACATGGACTTGCCCGATGTCGCTAATCACACAGTCGAGCGGTGGTATGGGCGTTGGTGCGAGGCCAACTCTCCCAACTTACTCCACATCTATCCTCAGCGCGCAGCGGGTGAAGGCCCCTACGCTGCCCGTTTCTCACCCGCTATAAGTTTGGTCACTGTCTACATGCCTGACCAGATTTTTCTGGACCTCCTCCACACGGGGGCCTGGGAACAGCCTGCTCTCATCCCTCAGCGTCTTGTGGAGGAGGCAGCTGCTGGCGGCCCCATCCTAATTGACTTCCAGGCCATGATCCTGGTGCGGCCATTTTGCCTTCCGTTGTCCTACCTCTCTCGAAACCTCCGTCTCCCTGAACCTTAGCCCCTCAGGCCATGCCGACCCCAGATGCGCAGCACCTGCCGCAGTTCGAGCACGGCGACGTCCGCTGCGCACCCGCTGAGGCCGTGCCACCGCAGCCTACAGTCGTACAGTGGCTGGTAGTGATCACGGCAGGTCACATTCCGCTCTGGTCTCCGCTGCCCATCAATGTAGGACTCCTAATGGAGCAATTCCACGGGCAGGAAACCCGGCTGCCATCTTCAGTTGAGAGACCACGCTTTTTTCACCTCCCCATTCTTCAGGAGACCGATGCGCGGTCCATTTTATTCGGCACGGGCGTACCTTTTCGCACCGGCCTTTCGCTGCGGGTCAACATGCGCAGCGGAACCATTCTCATCCCTATCGACTCAGCACCGGGCCAAGCATGCATCAGTCGGCCCATCAGGAGGGTCCTCCTCACCCAGGCGCACGCATAGGCCAGCTAGGTTTCACTCATATATGGCCGTTGGCTTATGGGCTACTTCTTTTCGCTCCTTCCGCACTCCCCCTCCTCTCAGAGCGCGCAGCGCAGCCATGGTTCCTGCGGTCGGGCGCGCTTCGGCGGCGGCTGAGGGGACCGCGCCCCCGCAGGAGGCCGCGGCCGAGTTCGTCGGCCTATCAGGCGACACGTACTCGGGCTCGGCATGGCAGGGCTCCCAGTACATTGCCGCCAACAGGGAGTTCAAGAAATGGTGGCCAGCTACGTACCCTGGCGAATGGAAGATGCCAAACGGCATGCTCTACCCGTTCGTGTGGAAGCTCAAGTCCCTCGACGTCATCAACGGCCAGGTCGTCGAAACTTGGGGCTGGGAATGGATAGAGGCTCCAGGCCTGGCGACCATCTCAGAGGTCGAGTCAATGCTGCTGGAGGCCCGGGCGCGAGCGGCGGCGGCGGCGGCCGCGCGGCAGCCGCGCGGTGCATGAGCGGGCCCTAGTGTGCTACCTCCCAGCCGGCGCCATCCAAGGTCGACAAGGGCGACCTTGGCGCAAATAATAGGTGGTGGGCTAGCCTCATACTCTAGTCTCGTCTCACCACGGCAGCCCACCACCTAGACAGCCCCAGCCAGCCACACGAGCCAAATGTTTACAGCTGGAGAGCCGTGTTGCTCCAATTTAAGATCGGCTGAGCCGACCTGCAATCCCGTCGCAGTGGGCCCAGCTATTCTTTCATTTAGCCACATGCCAAAGGCCCGCTGCAAAGTCGTAGTCAGCACCAGTCTCCGGCTTCACACCTTTCTGCCGCACTAGTGCAGCCAACCTACACTTTTAGTTGGCCCCGCTACCAGAAGAGCGGACAGCTAATGCTCACAGCTCAATTCGCAGACTCGCCACGGCTGAGTCTTCATAGGTTGTGGGCTAGCCTAATACCCCTGTGTCTCTGCTTATATCGGCAGCCCACCACCTAGATAGTCCTAGCCAGCCACACGTACCGTAATTCACCAGCGAGGAACTATGCTGCTCCAATCTAAGGTCGGCCGAGCTGTCCTATAGTCTCGTCGCAGCGGGCCCTTCCGATCTTTTCTTCAGCCCCATCCAGAGGCGGGCCAGCTGCAAGAGCTGTAGCCAGCACCAGTCTCTAGTTTCACACATTCTTGCCGCAGCAGTGCGGCCAGGCCAAAGCGACACTTTTGAGCAGCCTCGCTACCAGCAGAGCGGTCAGAGCAATGCTCACAGCGCAATTCGCAGACTCGCCACGGCTGAGTCGATACTGCGGCAAGCAAAATTGCCGCCGCAGCACATCCCACCCGCCGAGTAACTCTCGGCTAAGGCTGCCCATCAGAGGTGCGTACCTCTACGGACAGCTATCGCGCCCTAGTGTTGCTTGGCTTGGCAAGATAATCCTTCTCCCTCCCATTTGTTCTTCCCTCCCCTCTTACCACGTTTACGCCAAGACGCCAAGCACAGCATAGGCGCTCTCTCACCTGCCCCCTTTCCGGTCACATTCGTAACCGATGGGGCTTCCTAGTCTCCTGGCTTGCGGCGAGCAAAGATGCCGCCTCAGTACATCCCACCTGCCGAGCAATTATCGGCTCACCTCTCTGCCGCACTAGTGCAGCTAACGCGACACTTTTAAATAGCCACGCTATCAGAAAGGCGGACGGCTAATGCTCACAGCTCAATTCGCAGACTCGCCACGGCTGAGTCTTCATAGGTGGTGGGCTAGCATAATGCCCTAGTCTTTGCTTATACCGGCAGCCCACCACCTAGATAGCCCTAGCCAGCCACACGAGCCGTATCTCACCAGCTGAGGAGCTAAGCAGCTCCAATTTAAGGTCGGCCGAGCCGTCCTGCAGTCTCGTCGCAGCGGGCCCTCCAGTTCATTTCTTTAGCCCCATCCCGAGGACCAGCTTCAAGTGCTGTAGCCAGCACCAGTTTCTAGCTTCACACATTCTTGCCGCTACATTGCGGCCAGGCCATAGCGACACTTTTAAGCAGCCACGCTACCAGAAGAGCGGTCGGCTCAATGCTCACAACGCAATTCGCAGACTCGCCACGGCTGAGTCGATATTGCGGCAAGCAAAAATGCCGCCCTAATACATCCCACCTGCCGAGCAATTCTCGGCTAATGCTGGCTGTCAGAGGTGCGTATCTCTATGGACAGCTACCGCGCCTTAGCGTTGCTTGGCTGGACAAGATAATCTCTCTCCCTCCCATATGATTATCCCTCCCCTCTTACCTCGTTTACTCCATGACGCCCAGCACAGCACAGGCGCTCTCTCACCTGCCCCCTTTTCCGGTCACGTGCGTTACCGATGGGGCTTCCTAGACTCTTGGCGGCAACGCCGGCCTCTCCCTCCTAGTCCGCTCCGCCACGGCCGCCATACAGAGCGGCAAGGCCATTTTGGCCCTCCTCCTACTCATCCCGCTCATTTTCATGGCTAAGCCATGCTCCCAGATGGCCGTCCCTTAGGCCAGCTTTGCTGCTCCCGGTCTTTCAGCGCTGCCCGCATAGGGCAACGCCTAGATGGCGCGCTCAGTGTATCTCGCACGGCACCGATCTCCTCTCTTCTTATCATTCCTTCTCCCTCCCCCTCGGTGCCAATACCTCCCCCGCCCATCATGCAGGTCCAATGGCGAAGAATCGCTTTTGCCTGCGGACGGACCAGGAGCGGAGAACCTGTGCTGTGCCCGCTAGGCGGGCTCTGTCTGCCGCCTGGCCGACCTCGGCCACCCAGCTCAAGCTACTTGCAACGAGCCAAGTGCAGTCAAAAAAGTCGCGGCGCGCGCCGTCGGAGGTGGCTGCCTTTCCTGTATCCGGGGGGCGGGGACGAGTCCTCACAGGGCCTGCCGAGGCCTGGCAGCCAGAGGTCTTCGGGTCCGGCAGCGGGGGGCTCGAGGGCCCGAGGTGCTGCGTGTGGCGTCGTCGAGGCGAGGCGGTGCAGACCAAGGGGTGCGGCAGCCCCGACGCGGGGGCACGCCGCCCCGGCCAGGGCGGGGTTTCGCCGTCGCGCTGCCCCAGACACTTGAAATCCGCAGGCGGAAGGCCGGCCCCAGGCGCGAGGGACGACGGTTGAGGGTGGAGGGGCGGCCGAGAAGGGAGACGGAGGGATGGAGGGATGGAGGAGGGAAGGAGGGGATGAGAGGGGAAGGAGGGAAGGAAGGAGGGAAGGAGATGGAGAGAGGGGAGATGGAGGGATGAGGAGGGAAGGAGGGGCCGAGCGGAGGAGTGTCGGGGCGTGGGGGCAGAGAACGATTGTGATGATGACGGCGACGACGACGACGGCGATGAATATGAAGATGACCAGGATTATGAATGTGAATGTGGTTCTGATTGTGAATATGATGATGGTAGTGGTGATCGTGCTGATTCTGATGGTGGTGGTGATGATGGTGATGATGGAGGTGATGCTGATGTAGATGTTGATTTCGATGATCACTATGAGAAGGAAGAGGAATGATAGGAGGGTGCCCTTCGGAAGCAAGCGGTGGGAGCGGTACACGTGGGCCGAGCCACGATCCAACGCGAGGGAATGGGCTATGATTTCTGGGACTACACCGAGCCTTGGAAGCACGACGATTGCATTCAATCTGTCTGGAAGATGTCGTGTTACACTTATTTTCCAAGGCACGCCCATCGAGCCGTGGAACATCGAGCGAGTGATTCTTCCTTCAGTGTTTCGAGATGTCTTTGCTTCTATGTGTCGTCAGGTCTGTGAATCTGTCAGGCTGGAGCGCTTCTATTCGTGACGCATCCTGCTGTCTGTTACTGCTGTGTGGCTGTCGTGGTGGAAGACCTCCAATAATGTTTTGGCTAAACTTGGCATGTCCCCCTGACGGTTGGTGCATTCATGATGTTCGGTGTACCCGTATCGGCGCCAACAGTTCTTCAGGGGAGGTTGTAGGGCACAGCGCTTTCCGACTTGTCGCAACACGCGATGCAGTAGGAGCTCTGAGGGTCCATGTCCCACTCGGTGGCAATCACAAATCTCCTGTCGGAAGTCGTTTGCCCTGCTGCCTGCGTTGCGATGGCAGCCATATATACTTTCTGCAGACGCTCCGCCTAGAACTGCTGACGTAGCTATGGTTCCACTGCCTCAGTGCTTGCTGAACGTGATTTCTGGCCAGCCCGACGCCGCAGCGCTCGCGTGCCAATCATTGATTTCACGGTTCGGTTCCAGTTTCAGTGAAACTATGCGAGATCGCTTAAGACGACACGCGTAGGCTTGTGTTGTCAGTGGTGTGACCGGACATGGAGGTGGTGGATATCGAGGCCTTGGGGCATTCATCTTTATTGACACGCTTGCAACTAATACACACCAGTCTGAAAACTATGTTTTAGGTTTTTTGCTTACCATGGCTCTTGCTGGCCTCTCCCACTCAGAGTGTATGTGTCGCAGCACGATGACATTTGTATTTCCAGAGCGCCTTCATTTTGCACGTGTTGTTGCTTTGCGGATCCGAATATAATATATTTTTGGGTTGCGGAGGTTCAAACCGTTTCGTACCCCAATGATACGGAGGAGCTGGGCTTTGAAAGCAAGTGGTTCAGGTTTCAAAATGAAGCGTAACACTTTCACCAATATGCGAGTCTATTGTCGACAAGGGAGCTCCCAAGAAGAACCACAATGGTAGTCCTGTGCCTCATGCGTGCCAGTTTATGTGATTTCGCTGCACGACAGGTCGCGTCAGTGAGCTTGCGTCCAGTGTGGTACGTGCCCGCGTTCGCATATTTTCTTTTGTACGCGTCCGCTGAAAGACACTGTATTGTACGCGTCTGCTCGCAGTCGTAATATTGCAATATGTGTTAAGTACCATGAGCCCTCGTGCAATCCTAGATCTCGTTACACGTGTGGATCGTTTCGTTGCTTTGATACTTTCGGTTCCTCCACCGTTGCTTCTTTTCGGGGCCCGTTCCGTGAGATGCCTCGCGGAAGGTGCCACCAGTCAGGGCGATATCTCCGCCCTTGCGCTTCCACTTGCGAGAGCTACGTGCACACTTGCAAGGTGCAGTGCTGTGACGAGGCTTTTTTGATTTCTCTCCCCTTGTCGGTTCCACAGTGACTGCCCCCCCCTCCCTCTCTCTCTCTCTCTCGCTCTGGTCTTTATCATTCGTGCTTCCCTTCCGACCTGTATTCGCTGTCGTTTCTTTCACCTCTTTCTCTCCCTCTCTCTCCCTTCCTCTCTGCGCGCTTGGTGCGCTTCCACTCCTGATCGTTCTTGGTATCCCCTACGTATATTCCATTTTTTTTGGTTGTTGCGTCGTGTTTCTTTTTATTATTGTGGTTGTTGTTGCTGCTGCTGTTGTTGTGGTTGTTGTGGTTGTGGTTGTGGTTGTGGTTGTGGTTGTGGTTGTGGTTGTGGTTGTGGTGGTGGTCGTGGTGGTGGTGGTGGTGGTGGTGGTGGTGGTGGTTGTTGTTGTTGTCGTTGAAGAACTTTCATGTGGTTGTTGTTGTTGTTGTCGTTGAAGAACTTTCATTTCTGAAGAATAATTCTTGTTGATCCCCCCGTCCGGTGCACATTGTTTTTTCGATTGAAGTGCCCTTCCAGGGGCCGCACCCTGTTTTTTATCAGGGCAAATTTTAAGGGTCAAACTGTGTCGTTGGCCCCTGGTTTACAACAACAGCGGCTCCCGCCTGATACGTCTTCACCATTTATTGAAGAATCGCGCTCTCCCTTGGGACTTCCTTGCAATTTGCCACCGGATCGAGGCTCCCGCTTGATATTTCTTCACAATTTATTTGAAGAATCGCGCTCTCGCTTGGGACTGTCTCGCAACTTACCACCGAATCGCGGCTCCCGCCTGATACTTCCTCACAATGTATTCAGATGCCGCTCCTCGACACTGAGGAATCGCGCTCCCGCTACATATTGCGTGGCGGTTCAAGCAGAATTTACGCTTCAACGACCCGCCCGCTCGACCCGCCCGTCTGGGCCTGCCCGCCCGACCAGCCCGTTAGGGACTGAAGTCGCCGCTCGCTGCCCTTCGCCCGCCTTCGCTCGCTGCCCTTCGTGGCCCCGTTGCTGCCCTCAGTGGCCCCGTCGCTGCCCATTCTGGCCCCGCATTATATGCCCTTCGTGCCCCCCGCTCGCTCGCGCCCTTCCTGGCCTCATACGGATGCCCTTCGTAGCCCCGCCGTCGCCCTTCGTGGCCCTCTCGCTGCCCTTTGTGGCCCCTTCGCTGCCCTCAGTGGCCCCGCTGTCGTCCTTTGTGGCCCCATATACGAATGTCCTTCGTGGCCCCCATTCGCTCGCGCCCGTCGTGGCCCCATATGCATGCCCTTCGTGGCCCCGCTGTCGCTCTTCGTGGCCTCCTCGCTGCCCTTCGTGGCCCCGTTTCTGCCCTCAGCGGCCCTGTCGCTGCCCTCTGTGGCCCGGATTAATTGCCCTTCGTGGTCCCCACTCGCTCGCGCCCTTCCTGGCCCCATATGCATGCCCTTCGTAGCCCCGCCGTCGCCCTTCGTGGCCCTCTCGCTGCCCTTCGTGGCCCTTTTGCTGCCCTCAGTGGCCCCGCTGTCGCCCATTGTAGCCCCATATACGAATGCCCTACGTGGCGCCCGCTCGCTCGCGCCCGTCGTGGTCCCATACGCATGCGTTTCGTCGCCCCGCTGTCGCCATTCGCGGCCCCCTCGCTGCCCTTCGTGGCCCACTTTCTGCGCTCAGTGGCCCCGCTGTCGCCCTTTCTGGCCCCATGTATGTATGCCCTACGTGGCCCCCGCTCGCTCGCGCCCGTCGTGGCCCCATATGCATGCCCTTCGTGGCCCCGCTGTCGCTCTTCGTGGCCCCCTCTCTGCCCTTTGTGGCCCCTTCGCTGCCCTCAGCGGCTCCGCCGCTGCCCTCTGCGGCCCCCTATACGTATGCCCTTCGGGGCCCTCGCTCCTTCGCGCCCGTCGTGGTCGGCGCCAACAACGGCTCCCGCCTGATACTTCTTCACAATTTATTGAAAAATCGCGCTCTCGCTGGGGACTTCCTTGCAATTTACCACCGGATCGCGACTCCCGCTTGGTACTTCCTCACAGTCTATTGGAGAATCGCGCTTTCGCTTTGGACTTCCTCGCAACCGTACGCATGCCCTTCGTAGCCCCGCTGTCGCCTTTCGTGGCCCTCTCGCTGCCCTTCGTGGCCCTTTTGCTGCCCTCAGTGGCCCCGCTGTCGCCCTTTGTAGCCCCATATACGAATGCCCTACGTGGCGCCCGCTCGCTCGCGCCCGTCGTGGCCCCAAATGCATGCCCTTCGTGGCCCCGCTGTCACCCTTTGTGGCCCCCTCGCTGCCCTTCGTGGCCCCGGTGCTGCCCTCAGCGGCCCCGTCGCTGCCCTAGGTGGCCCCCGATTCATTGCCCTTCGTGGCCTCCGCTCGCTTGCGCCCTTCCTGGCCCCATATGCCCTTAGTCGCCCCGCTGTCGCCCTTCGTGGCCCTCTCCCTGCCCTTCGCGGCCCCCTCGCTGCCCTTCGTGGTCCACTTTCTGCGCTCAGTGGCCCCGCTGTCGCCCTTCCTGGCCCCATATATGCATGCCCTTCGTGGCCCCCGCTCGTTCGCGCCCGTCGTGGTCCCGTATGCATGCCGCCCCTCCCAACATCCCGCCTTTTTTGGCAGGGTTCCACGAACTTTCTTTCTGACACCAGTTCGCAGCTGTACGTCCCCCCGCGGGGGAATCCACGATATGTTCTTTCAAAGGGGTGGTACGTGGCGCTGTTAATGGCGCGACCCATGGCGAAACTTATTTTCAACCTGTGTTGGAGTGGCTGGCGCAAGCTATGGCGCAAGCTGAATCGCCACTCGCAGCGCAAATCGTCGTCCTCCCTCCTTCTTGCCCCGCGCCTCCCTTCCTCCGATCTCTTCGTCCTCATTCTCCCCCGTTATCTGTTACCCTTCGTTTTCAAGGGCTTCACCAACCACGCGTGGCAGGGAATGATTATACCCCCCCACAAGTGTGTACGGTCGACGACGAGGAGGGCGGGTATCCAGGGTTTGGGATATTCATATTGAGTGACACGCGATCAGATAAGAACGAGCACTCTTAAAATGATGATGGTTGTTGTTGTTGTTGTTGTTGTTGTTGTTGTTGTTGTTGTTGTTGTTGTTGTTGTTGTTGTTGTTGTTGTTGTTGTTGTTGTTGAGTTCTCACTTCTGAGAAGTAATTATTGGTGATCCCCCCTCACCGGTGCATTCCGTTTTTCTCAATCACAGTGTGCCCCTCGACGCTCGCACCCTGTTTTTTGACAAGGCAAGTCTTCCTGCTCAAACTGGCCCCCTGGCCCCCGGGTTGCAACAACAACGGCTCCCGCTTGAGACTTCCTTACAATTTAGGCAGGTCCCCGGCTCCCGCCCGAGACTTCCTCGCATTTTATTCAGGAATCGCGCTCTCGTTTGGGATTTCCTTGCAATTTATTCAGGAATCGCTTTCCCAGAGCTCTGGAGTCGCGCTCTCGCTGGAGACTTGCTTGCAACTTACTGAAGAATAGCCTTGCGTTGGAATTTCTTGCAATTTGCCCAAGCGCCGCGCTCCCGACACCCAGGCACCCAAGAGTCGCGCCCGTTGTGGCCCACTGTGCCTGCCCTTCGTGGCCCCGCTGTCGCCCTTCGTGTCCCCCTCATTGTCCTACATGGCCCAGTTGCTACCCTCAGTGGCCCCATAGTTGCCTTCTGTGGCCCCGCATTCTCTGCACTTCGTGGCCCCCGCTCGTTCGCACTCTTCGTGGTCCCATACGCATTCCCTTCGTGTCCCCGCTGTCGCCCTTCGTGGCCTACTTCGTGTCCTTCGTGGCCATGTTGTCGTTCTCTCTCGCTCTCGCTTTCGATCGTCGTCGCCGTTGTCGCCGTCGCCTTCGACGTCGTCGTCGTCGTCGTCGTCGTTGTCGTCGTCGTCGTCGTCGTCGTCGTGGTCGTCGTCGTCGTCGTCGTCGTCGTCGTGGTCGGTCCCCTTTCCGTCCCTCTTGGGGTCGGGTCGACGGTCCCCGGCCGCCCCGCCGATCAGCGCTGCCGCTGGCCAGGCCGACGGTCCGCCGCCGCCCCGCCGCTTGCCGGGGCCCGGCCTGCAGGGAAGAAAGGTATACCCCCTTTTGTTCGATCGAAGACGAAGAGGGCGGGTATCGAGGGTTTGGGAAATACGCGTTATTGGACACTCGAACATATAAGGGCGAACGGCCTTAAAATGATTGAACATTATTCCTTCTAAAGAATTATTATTGTTGGGACCCCTGGTGCGCGACCTCTGCGCCGCGCCTAGGCCGCAGCTACATTTTCATCATTTTTTCGCGAAAGCTTCAGAAAAGTGGATGAGCTCCGGATCCGGTTTTTTGTTGACGCTCGTTTTCCCTTGCAAAAAACAATAGAAAATGAAAATTCTTGTTTTTACTTGATCAAATTGCAAGAATCCCTTGCAAAAAATAAGGTAAAGTGGACATTCGTGCGCGCAAGACGAAATCCTTCCAAAACCTTAGGTTTCGTAGCGATTTTAACATAAAAACATCAAAAACCCAATGGTTTTCTCAGAAAAAATTGTCAAAATGTCCTTCCGCGCGCTCTTGCGGATTCCTAGGAAACCCACCAGATTTTAAACATTTCTGTTAAAAGGGCCTTTGCGAGGAACCTTTTCAGGTGCTTCGACCTTCTGCAACAACGGTTGCGAGCCTACGAGGGCCACCATCCCTTGCAAAAAATGACACGAAGTGCACATGCGCGCGGCCGCCGCGCGCGCGTGCCGAAATCCTGCCAAACATAATGTGATTTCAATAATTTCAAGATGCGATGTTCCGAAAACATATGCAAACGCAAGACTTTCTCATCCGAAAAATATCAAAATCCACCCGCGGGCTCTTCATGAATCTTTAAAACCCAAGATGGCCCCAAGAGGCGCTCAAGATGGCCCCAAGAGGCGCCCATGAGGCCGCAAGAGGCGCCCAAGATGGTCCCAAGAGGCCCCAAGAGGACTCCAAGAGGCCCCCAAGAGGTTCCAAAGAGGCTCCAAGTTGGCTCCAAGAGGCCCCCAAGATGGCCCCAGGAGGCGTCCAAGCGGCTCCAAGAG